GTTAGGTGGATAAATATATCGTTCTTGGACCGGGTCAAGTGGATGCTGAGCGTATCTGCGCCGGTTCCTCGCCCACATGTATTCACGGTCGCGATTTTCTTTTTTTCCTTTCGTTTTTTTTTTCTTTCTTTTTTTTACCCCTACCCTTAAGCCCACCTCTTCTTTTTCCTCCCCCTCCCCCTGCCCTCCAACCCCTGTCTTTATATCTATATACCTATATATATGCATGGTTATAGTCAAATACGGAAGACATCGTTCAATGTTTACTCAACGATAGAGATTGCACGTAGTTGATTTCTCGAACGAAAGATCGGCATATGTAGGTGTTTCTAAGAAATCTTTCAAGGTCATTTATGATTTATATAGCCATGCATTTAATATGTATTTACGTATCTATGTTAGTATGTATGCGCGAATCCTAGATGATTATATCAAGATTGGTCCGATTATAAATCATTTATATATATATATATATATATATTTCGTTCTTCTTTCTCTCTCTCTCTCTTTCTCTCTCCTCTCTCTTTCTCTCTCCTCTCTCTGTCTCTCTCTTTCTCTCTTTTTCGAAACACCCATATACGATTTTTTGATATATTACTGGACACGTTCGATTTTTAAAATTATTCGAGAATTACTGTTGACCATCATTTTTCTTCTTCTTCTTCTGTTTTCTCCTTTTTTTCTGATTCTTTTTTTTTTCTTTTTTTTTTTTTGGAATATACGTACACACAAAGGAATGGAAAAAATTGTTTATCCATAATATTGTATATAAATATGTCCGTCTTTCTTTCTTTTTTTTCTTCATTTTTTTTCCTCTTTTCTCCCTTTTTTTTTCTTTTTTTTTTTAAATCGAAAATTTAATTATTTCGTGACGTAATTCTCATTAAAATACATTAACAATAAGATATTTAAATGCGTCAGTTATAATATCCGTAGTTAAATAGAATTTAGATCTCAATTTTATAATCTCATGGATATCTATATCAAAAAAAAAAAAGAAAAAATATATATACATATATATATATATATACATATATATATATATATATATATGTATATTTCAAATTATTAAAAAAAAAAAATTAGAAAAATGTTTGTAGAAAAAGCTTCTAAAACGAAATTATTCTGGATTGATTAGTTCGAGGTAAAAAAAAAAAAAAAAAAAAAAAAAAAAAGAAAAAAGAAAAGAAAAAAAAAAGAGAAAAAAGAAAATATCTGCGACGAATCTAATTAATTTCAAGTTGAACTTCTCGACTAAAGGTTCTGGGGAAAAAAAAGAAAAAAAGAATGAATAAAAAAAAAAAAAAAAAAAAAAAAACAAATAGAAAGAATTCCAACGACGTGGACGATGAATCGAAGAAACGAGACAAAAAAAGGAATTAACGAGTTTTAATTATCTAATCTTATATAAACTTTAACACCAGAAGTACGAGTGAGATAGAGAGAGAAAGAGACTGAGAGAGAGAGAGAGAGAGAGAGAGAGAGAGAGAGGAAAAGAGAGGCAAATAAGAGAGCATCAATCTATTTGGATGCTTAGCAAAGAAGGAGCAGCAATTATGATATTTGTCCCTATTAGGCGAATTGGGGTGGCGACTCGCGTGACCCCAACTGATCGTGGCGGACTGCTAACTCGCGCAATGGGCCTGGGGTCAAATAAGACCGCCTCTCTCTCTCTCTCTTTTCTCTCTCTCTCTCTCTCTCTCTCTCTCTCTCTCTCTTTCTCTCTATCACTCTATCTCTCTCATTCTTATTATTCACTCACAAAGTTTTGCCTTACCGATATTCACATCTCTTTGCGTGAAATTCATCAAAACGAACCGAGAATAACCAACGACGGTTTGCACTAAATTAGATCGAATTAGATCGAATTAGATTTCGTAAAATACTTCAGTACGATTAGAATTGCGTACATTTTGAAGTTCGATATATTGATATAATATAAACGTTTGGTACGAAAGGAAAAAAAAAAGGAAAAAAAGGTTTCCTTCTGCTTGCGATCTGAAAGAAATAAGAAATAAAATTAAAATGAAATAAATGGGAAAAAAAATTAGAATTCGAAAAAGTGAATAATCAAATTTTTGATGAACGCTTAGACTAGATTGAACGTTAGATTAGATTTTTCTTAAATTTTAATCCATATATTTATTTAAATAAACGAATGATCGATAACGATAGTTATCTCATAACGATCATTAGAAATAAGATTAGAATTATAAATTCCTATTATCTGATCTAATGCATCGCTTCTAATGTTTTACTAAGCTTAAAACAATGTCTACGTGAGTTTACGCGATTAGATTTGTATTCGATTAAATTTACCTATTTTTTTTTTTTTTTGCTTTTTTTTTTTTTTAATAATCTAACGAACGATCTAATTCAAATCGAATCATCATATAACAAATCTAATGTATTATATCTTAATAAGCTTAATACTATTTTCTAGGAATAAAATATTAAGTTTTTATAAGATTATCTATTCGGAATAAAAATTAACGATTAA